ATATATATATATATATATATACATATATATAATATATATAAATATATAAAATATATGAAAAATTGATGTGGGTACTCAAATGAAAGGTTTTAATGAGTGTAATCTCAGGATGAGCTTATATCATTGAAAATGTCAATAGTTCACGAGATACAAGGTCATTTCTTAATTATGTATCTGAAAATAGTGTATTTTCAAATGCAGCATTTAATAAAAATATTTGTATTTTTGTTACAGATTTCAACCGATACACCACAACAAGACAACAAAAATACTACGGATGTGATAAAAAAAATATAATAATTAACCTAGCCAATATATAAATATATAAATCGGCAACGTTCATTAATTTTAAATTCCAGCCATCGTTAAGCTACTCTAGAAATTTTACCATAAAAAAAAAAAATTGTAAAGAATTTTAGAAATTATTTTAAATAATGCAAAAGTGTTAATTGTTATACTTAGGATTATTATTGAATGTTTTTTGTTATAAATTAGTCAATTATTCCGCGATTAGTGGGTTGGTCATTAATTATAAATTAATTGAAAAAAAAAGAGTAGAAAAAATATTTAAAATTAATAATAGCAACAATTTTAAACAAATATATAGATTGCCTATTAAAAAAATAATAATAATAATAATAATAATAAACCATATACAATGCAAATGTAAAAAAATATACGAATATATTTATAGATAAATTAATAAATAATTAATTAATTACGGCCGGGAATGCGCATGTAGAAGCTACGCGATAAAATATTAATTGATTTTTTTTTCTTTAAATTTTTGAAAAAAATTTTGACGTTTTTTTTTTTTGTAAAAAAAAATAATTTTTTACGCCAAAAAATTAAAAGGTGGCAGTTTTATAAATTTTTGAAATAATAAATAGAATATAATTTTATATAAGAGCGATTAAATTGATTAAATATAATTACACTAACATTATTAATATTTTTTATTATTAAATAAGTTTTTAAAAAAAACTAGAAGTTAAGAATGAATTAATATTGTTATAATTTAAATTTATTAATTGTTATAATTATTTTTACCCGAAATTATATAAGTGGATATTTTATTGTATATTATTATTATGTAATTATAAGGTTGATTTGTTTGTTTATTGTTTAATAACTATTGTGCAGCAAATGATTTATGTTTTATATAGTTTAATTTTAATAAAATAGCCATACTGTTTAAAGCGCAATAATTAATTATCGATTTGTAATTTATAATTATATTTTGATAATTTATCATCACTGTTTTGTGTTTATTCTTATATTGCAAATCAAAAGTACAATAAACGGGTTGTATAAAATTATATTAATATTAATTGATTATTTGTTTTTTAATTCAATAGATTTTTTTAAAAATATTTTTACTACATTGACACTCAAAATCAATCCATAATTATTTTGTCAGTTCATTAGAAAATTAATTTTATTTAAAAGTTTCTGAAAAATAATTTTTTACTACATTGACAATCAAAATCAATGTAATTTTTTTGTTAGTTTATTAAAAAATTAATTTATCAAAAAAAAAACTTCTAAAAAATATCTTTATACTAAATTGATAATTAAAATCAACAAAAATTGCATTTTTTCTACATTGACACTCAAAATCAATGTAATTGTTATTTTTTGTTACCTTATTAAAATACAATTTTATTAATAAGCTTTTTTAAAATATATACTTACTGTATTGACATTAAAAATCAATACATCATTGCAGTATACTACATTGACACTAAAAATCAATGCATTTATTATTTTGTCAGTTTCTTAAAAATTTATTATTAATGATAAATTATGAGTTGCTAAAAATTAATTTTTTTACTACATTGACACTCAAAATCAACGTATAATTGCATTCATTACATTTACACTTATTATCAATGTAATTGTCATTTAATCATCTTGCTAAAATTCAATTTTATTAGTGATATTTTCAAAAGTAAATTTCACTGCATTTACACTCGAAATCAATGCAGTAATTTTATTACCTTGACACTCGAAATTAATGTAATTTTTTTGTTAGTTTATTAAAAAATCAATTTATCAAAAAAAAAAAAAACTTCTAAAAAATATCTTTATACTAAATTGATAATTAAAATCAACAAAAAATTGCATTTTACTACATTGACACTCAAAATCAACGTATAATTGCATTCATTACATTTACACTTATTATCAATGTAATTGTCATTTAATCATCTTGCTAAAATTCAATTTTATTAGTGATATTTTCAAAAGTAAATTTCACTGCATTTACACTCGAAATCAATGCAGTAATTTTATTACCTTGACACTCGAAATTAATGTAATTTTTTTGTTAGTTTATTAAAAAATCAATTTATCAAAAAAAAAAAAAACTTCTAAAAAATATCTTTATACTAAATTGATAATTAAAATCAACAAAAAATTGCATTTTACTACATTGACACTCAAAATCAATGTAATTGTTATTTTTTGTTAACTTATTAAAATACAATTTTATTAATAAGCTTTTTTAAAATATATATTTACTGCATTGACATTAAAAATCAATACATCATTGCATTTTACTACATTGACACTCAAAATCAATGTAATTGTTATTTTTATGAGCTTTTATTAATAATAATAAGCATTAATAATAATAAGCAATTTTATTAATAAGCCCTTTATTAATACATTTTACTGCATTGACAGTAAAAATCAATGCATTTATTATTTTGTCAGTTTCTTAAAAAATTATTATTAATTAGGAATTATAAGTTTCTAAAAATTAATTTTTTTACTACATTGACACTCAAAATCAACGCATAATTGCATTCATTACATTGACACTTATTATCAATGTAATTGTCATTTAATCATCTTGCTAAAATTCAATTTTATTAGTGATATTTCCAAAAGTAAATTTCACTGAATTGACACTCAAAAGCAATGCAGCAATTTTATTACATTGACACTCAAAATCAATGTAACTATTTTCTCTAATTTTTACAAAAAATCACACCAATAACTTTTAAAATTAATAAACTCGCAATTTTTACACTGCATTGACTCTCAAAATCAATGCAGTAATTTTTCTCAGGATCTACCCGTCCGATTTCTTCGAAATTTTGACATATCTTTCTTATTGACCCCTCGCGCCAATAACAATAATAATTTTACATATTTTTAAAAAAAAAATACACTATTATTAAAAAACATTATTGAAAAAATAAAAAAAATTATTATTACCTGCAATCTATAATCACGGAATATTTAGTATCAAAAGCCGATACATCTCTGCCGATAATTTACCTTTTGTTTTTAATATTAATTATAAATTTCTTCTTTAAAAAAAAATTACTAAAAGATAATTAATCTAAAAAATTAATAATATTATTTTAAAATAATAATAAATAAATAAATAAATAAATAAATTAAAGATACTAACGCTTGCGCTGAGGGTAGTTTTCTCTGGAATGAAATTGAGCAGAGATGAAACTACATATATAGGTGAAGATATATAGAGCGCATGAACAAGGATTCCAACTCTGAACTCGATCACACCTTGCCATTTCCTCCATAGGTAGTCCTGTCTATTGTGGCGCGCTGCTACTACATCACTCAGTTTAGTTCAACAAAATATCTTCACTTTATTTTTTATCACACATTTCTTCTATTATTTTACTCAAAAATTATTTCTTCTTTATATTTTATTAAAAATAACAATTATTTAAATTAAGGGTGAGATTTAACTAGTGTTATTATTATTTTAATTATTATAATAATAATAATAATTTAGTAAAGTAGAAAAATAAATTACAATTACAGTAATTACACTTATTACACTACAGGCGCGGTTTTTGTTGTACAAAAAAATTACACTAGTTTGATTATAATTTTTTAATTAATTAAGACATTTTTTTTGTAAAAAATTAGAAAATTATTTTTTTTAAGTTCTAATAATAATAATAATAATAATTATTATTATTATTATTAGGGTTGTTGATAGTTGATTGTTATTGTTATATTATATTGAAAAGGAAAGGATTTGCAATGAGGGGTAATTGATACGGAAAAGCAAAGCAATTGTCAATCCATCAATAGTCATTTCCCTGTTTATTATATTATTATTATTATTATTATATCTTTGACTTGTAGAATGGAAAATTATACTCTATTATAATTTATAATAATAATAACAATAATAATATTATGTGGAGGTATCATCGTTTATAATATATATTATATATATAATAAAGAGACGTGGTGATGCGCAACAGGGATAAAAGGTGAGCGATATTCGCATTGATTTTATTTTTTAATCAATTATTATTATTATTATTTTTATTACAATTTGAAATTTTTCAAATAATTCTAATAATTATAATTATAATAAAAGTTTTTTAATTCTTTAAATTTAATGTTAATTTCATTAAAAATTATAATTTTTATTATTCACCATATCAGCAACAATTTTTACCACTTTATTAATTTTTATTAAATATTTAACATTTAAATTTATAAAATAAATTTTTCTTAATATTAAATAAAACAATTAATAAAAAAAAAATAATATAATTGCACCTTGCCGGGAATCGAACCCAGTTCTGTTTGAATACATGTCAGCCGCTCTACTGTTTAAGCTACCACTTTAAATTGTATGGAGAGTTATGACTATAAAAATATTAAAAATTGTTGCTTTATTAAATATTTAACATTTAAATTTATGAAAAAAATTTTTCTTAATAATAAATATAACAATTAATAAAAAAAAAAAATAAAATAATAGAATTGTACTTTGCCAGGGATCGAACCCAGTTCCGTTTGGATATAAGTCAGCCGCTATACTGTATAAGCTACTAATTTAAATTGTATGGAGAGTTATTAGTCTAAAAATACCAAAAATTGTTGCTAAAACTTAGTAATTAACATTTTCAATAAAAAATAATATTAATTATTAATTATAAAATAATTTATTAATTTACCTAAACTTTAAGTTACCTTCTGAATAAAATTAACAAATTTTTTTTTCTAACTTAAATTAATTTTTAAAATTACTATTAATAAAAAATATATTTGTCAAAATAGTCACTACAATATTTTTTATTTTCAGATAATAAATGTCTGATACGATAAACAAAGAAGAGTAGTAAAAGGAAAAAAGGTCAAAAAGAAACTAAAAAGGAAAAAAAGAAACAGAATGGGAAGAGGCGATAAACGAGGTGTCGGGCAGCGTAACGAACCTGGTAAGTTATACAACCCATATATACCTATACATATACATATATAGTTCTTTTATCAGCATGCACCAGCAACAGCAGCCTATCTGCAAATAAAAAACAAACATTTCAGTACCGCCAACACGAATCAATAATAACTACATCAATAGCAAAATCCGCCAAAATAACCTCATACAAACCGAATCAATTAACTAAGCCTTTGTCCCGACGAACAAAGGCACAGAAGACTATTATATAATAAAATATCCTGTAGCCGGTCTAGGACGACCTGTAGTACTTGATAATCTCCGCCCTGGCGGCACTAGCAAAAGGTCCTCGACAGAGATCGGAGTTCCAATTAGCGACACCTGGACAAGCCATGTACTCGAAGCAAGCGACCACCTGTCGATCAACGTCCTTTGATCCCGAACGAGGGCAGCATTGAACTATAGCCCACACACAGGCTTCTGGTGGGGGTTTTTTCGGGTGAGACGGTCGTCGTGATACTGGAAAATTCTTCACTTGAATGCCTTTGTGGCTTGGATTTATTTCCTAAAACAGTTTTTTAGTATTTAACTTGCGTTGCTAGGTCATTTTCGGTTTTAGGGGCGTTGCTAAAGTAAAGGGGCGGTACTTAGTTTCTAAGGGGCGTTGCTACGGTTGCTAGGGATGTTACTAGGCAAAAAAGTTGCTTAGATTGGTAAGCAATCATCATTAGGGGCGTTACTAAAATTATAAGGGGCGTATTTAACGTTGCTGAGGATGTTAGTAGGTAATAGTTGCTAAGTTATGGTTTTTAGAGGCGTTACCATGTCTCTAAGGGGCGTTGCCAAGGTTGCTAAGGATGTTACTAGATAACAGTTAATTAGATTAGTAAGCAATATTAATTAGGGGCGTTGCTAAAGTTGAAACGGGCGGAGCTTATGTTGCTAGAGGCTGGTTGCTGTGTTTCTGGTCACTGGTTGCTAAGGTGATGCAACTAAGGTTAAAAGGGGTGTTACTAAAATTCTAAGAGGCGTAGTCAACGTTGCTAAAGATATTATTAGGTAATTATTGCTAAGAATATTGCTTGGGTTGCTGAGAAAAGTTTATTAGGGGCGTTACTAAGTAAACAGTTGTTACATAACAATTTTTAGAGGCATAGCTAAATAATAGTTGCTTAGTGATAATAATTAAGGGCGTGACTAAGGAACAGTTGCTAAGGATATGACCAAATTAAAGTTTATAGGGACGTTGCTAAGTAATAATTACTAGAAGCGTGACTAATTATCAGTTGCTAGGTTACAATTATTAGAGGCGTGGCTAACTAACAGTTGCTAAATAATAATTAATAAGGGCGTGACTAATAAATAGTTAGGGGCGTGGTTATGGGGGTAGTTGCTAGGCAACAGTTGCCAAGGGGCGTGTCTAAGCCCGCCGTTGCTAAGTACCCGCCCCTGGGGCGTGGTTAAGGGCGTGATTATCATTAAAAAATGCAAAAACTTACAGGAAAATCAACATCACGTTCAAAATCATTCCTTGATTGAAACTTCGGCTGATCGATAACAATCTTCGCAGCCACAGGAAGTTCGTTTAACCTTCTGAGCATGGCCTCATGCTCCTTCCGATCAACCTTTCTATTCCTCAAGTTAATCGGACGATTCCTAGCAATGTAATCTCTTAACTTCCTCTCTAATTCTTCTTCCCTGACCTTCGGTACCTCTATGGTTTCTTTCTTCCTGAATTCCATCGCTGGCTGATCTAAATTAGCATACTCTTCATTGATCAGATCCAGACCGTCATTCTCACCAAACCCCCAAAGGTCATCATCGTCTTCATAATAATAATCATCATCATCATCATCACCATCATAATCATCAGACCTTTTGTTTCTGGTAACAATGTCACCTCTTTTAGGAACCTTGTCATCGATTTTGTCCTCGAGCAAAGAATAATCCACTTCAGTTGGATCCATATCACCTCTTTTAACATTATTATTATTATTTTCAATTGCCAACTTCCGCTTAAGCTTCAATAATTCGTCCATTTCTTCGTAGACTTGCTCATTGCTGGAGTAATCAAAGTCTTGGAGGGAAATTGGAGTGACCCGTAAAATTGGAGGGTCTTTTAATTCAATGTACTCATTTTTTTGTTTCACATCACAATTACCACCAATTGTAAAAAAATAAATAATTATAAAAATATTTTGATACATTTTAATAAAAAATTATATTGAACAAGGTGTTGATAAATGATCTTGACACACTCGACTGCTATAAGCATCAGCGGCACGGTGCCAGGAACTCAAGCCGTACAATTAAATAGACATCTTGTCTCTTTATCTGCTTCTTCTTTCTTCTTGTTGTTGTTAACTGTCAATGCTTGTTGCTTTTGATGATGTGATTGCTATTGCAATTATATACTGACTAACTCATCCTATTATTTATTTTATTATTTCAATACTTATTGTGGAAAAAATAAGATACACTTCTCTGAGAATTAAGTTAAAATTTTTTTTATTTATATACTCAGAATTTTATTGACAATTAACTTATGACGTACTAATGCTCTTAATTATTGGTCTACTTAAGATGGTTTATTTTTATTGCGATAAATGATTAGTTATTTACTATGTACTAGTATCATCTTTTTTTTTTTTAATTTTTTTTTTTTTTTATAGATAAATATTGCAAATTGATATTTTTCTCAAGAATTATTGATAAGAAGCTTGAGTAGTATCTTAAAATAAAAAAATAAAATTTAGTTCCGAAAGTCACCGCTAGGTGGCAAGGTGGCGCTTTTCCCTCTCGCTTGCATAAATAAATTTCCAGGATATTAATATTTCATTTTTTTTATTAAAATTTCAATCTTTAATATCAATAATACAAAAATAAAATTTTTAATGAGAAATTGGATTATTAATTATTAAAAATAATAATTAGAAGCTCCAAAATTGTAAATTTTATCATGAAATAGGTTGCAGATACTCTAAAGTATCAAAAAAAATAATTTTTTTAAGTTAGTTCCAAAAGTCACCGCTAGGTGGCCCGGTGGCGCTTTTCTCTCTCGCTTTCAGAAATAAATTTCCAGGGTATTTATTAATATTTTTTTGTCAAAATTTCGATCTTAACTATCAATAACACAAAAATAAAATTCTTAATTAGAAATCAGGACATTAATTATTAAAAATACTAATTAAAAACTTTAAAATTTTGTTATGAAATAGCTTGCAGATACTTAAAAGTATCAAAAAATAATTTTAAAAAATTAGTTCCAAAAGTCACCGCTAGGTGAAAAAGTAGGGCTGTTCCCTCTCGCTTGTAGAAATAAATTTCTAAAGTATATAAATCGATAAAAATTTTTTTGTTAAATTTTTAAATGAAATAATATTAAAATTCATTAGATATAAATATTGCAATTGTTATTGAGTTTGAGATTAATAAATATTTGTGTATATACAATAAAAAGGTTGATTTAAATATAAATATAGATAAAATTTTCAAAAGAAAAAGTAAGTGGTAGTGCGGCGAAACAATTCACGGGTAAATTGGTACAGACGTAATCATGCATGTGATATGTACAACAAATTCTCTTTTGCTCTCTTTGTATGTTATGTATATAATATGATATGATATAGGATGGTAAGTGTAAAAGTTAGCAAAGCAAACTGAACTCACAAGAGTAGGGCGTACTAGATACTATATACTATATATCATACATACATATAATATTATATACTATTTACTATAAAACCAGAACCATAGAGACGGGAAGTATATCTAGACCGCTTTGATTCGACGTATAAAGTGATTTCATGCTTTGTTACTGTGTACAATGCCGCGGTCACTTTGGTGTTAACATGCCGCAACTATTCACAAAAGATAAATTCACACAATATATATTTTTCTTTTTGATAACAATAATAATAATAATAATAATAATAATAATAATAACAATTTATTGTATTTTTAGTATTAAATGAAGAACATTGAAGTACAAGTTTCATTTTTTATTATTAATTTTATTTTTAGACTACATTGACACTCAAAATCAATGCAGAGTAATTTGTAATCAATCCGATTTTCCTGAAATTTTAATATGTTATCCCTAAAATAAAGTTCTATTGTATTTTTTGTGTTTCAGTCAGCACAAGCAGCAACCTGGTCGGAAAATTCACGCAAAGCGTCCGAAGAATAGTCCAAGATGTAAAGGACGAGGGATCATCGAGTAGGTATATACCAAACACATAAAACTATACAACAAATCTACAGCTTAATTTTCATGTTCTTCTAACAACTCTCTAGCATTGTTACTTTTTTTTTTTTTTAGTAAAGTAGTAAATATTAAATTAGCACACTGCATTGACAATTTAGCAATAAACTCCGCTAGTTTTTTCAGCCACTTTATATTCTTCTCAAAAATAAAAAAATTCCTCCAGACTTTAAAGTGGATAAAGTTGGCTATTTGCCAAATAACAACTGTTGCTCCTGATATACTTGTGATACAACAACAACAACAACAACTACAACTACAACTTGTTTCTTCTTCTACATAACAATAATTATAATATTATAATAAAAACCTCTTTTTTTTTTCTAAAGGTTATTTTTAGAGGATATAAAAAAAAATATATTTTTTTTGCTGTTGATGTTTATAAACAGGTGGTTTACCAAAAGAAGATTTAATAGAAACAAATGAAAGATTAAGGACAGTTAGAGTTAGACTTGAGGCTAGTTATGATACCGCTAAACGTGCTTTGACTGATTTGATGGCTAAATATACTGACAGCAAACAAGTTAGGAATATTTTTCAGCGTTACAATATTCTTAAAGTTATTATTAAGGTAAATAATTATAAATTTTTTATATTTATGATATATTAGTTATTAGAAGCTTGAGTAGTACCTAAAAACAAGAAAAAAAATTTTTAGTTATAAAAGTCACCGCTAGGTAGCCATGTGGCGCTTTTCTCTCTCGCTTGCAGAAATTAATTTCCAGGATATTTAATATATTTGTCTTTTATCAAAATTTCAATCTTCATTATCAAAAACACAGAAAAAAAATTCTTAATTAAAAATTGAGATATTAATTATCAAAAATAATAATTACAAGCACAAAATTGTAAATTTCGTTGAGAAATAGGTCGAGAGTACTTTAAAGTATCTAAAAACAAATTTTAAAAATTTAGTTCAAAAAGTCACCGCTAGGTGGCTAAGTGGCGCTTTTATCTCTCGCTTGCAGAAATTAATTTCCAGGATATTTAATATTTGTCTTTTATCAAAATTTCAATCTTTATTATCAAAAACACAGAAAAAAAATTCTTAATTAAAAATTGGGACATTAATTGTCAAAAATAATAATTACAATCACAAAATTGTAAATTTTGTTGAGAAATAGGCCAAGAATACTCTAAAGTAGCTAAAAATAATTGTTAAAAAATTTAGTTCAAAAAGTCACCGCTAGGTGGCTAAGTGGCGCTTTTATCTCTCGCTTGTAGAAATAAATTTCCAGGGTATATAATTTAAAACTTAAAATTGTATTATTGGGCCCTCAAAGTTTCTAGTTTGAAAAATCACCGCTAGGTGGCCACTTGGCGCTGTTTTTTCTCGCTTGCATAGTTTTGTATTAATGTATTAATATTAATAATAATTGTTTGTATATTAAGGAGGTAATTAAATTGGAGACTCAGTATTGGATTCTTGTTGACATACCACGGCAAGAAAAACAAGAAACTGTTCCATCTTTTGTATTAAGAGCGTGCGCTATTATGGAAAAAACCCATAAAACTTGCGAGGGAATCAAAAGTTTTGCTAAAATCTCGGCAGAAGATGCTGCGGAGATTAGAAAGGAACGAATTGACCGCCTTGAAGGTATTTATTGTTATTTATTGACATTGAGGGTCAATGTAGTCAAAAAATATCATTTTTTTTCCAGACATGACTACATCGCAGATAGAAACTGAAAATACTCAGATGATTAACGACCTCTATCGACTCCTAAAAAAATACACTGGCTTAAGGAATCTTATTCGAGATTTAAAGGTAAAATTTTTATAAATTAAAAATTCAACCTTTAAAATTTTAATAAAGAATTTTAAAATAAATTTTTAAAAATTTTTAAAATAAAATTTTTTTATAAATAAAATAATTAAAAAAAATATTTTTCAGGTGGAATACAACAGTTCAAAAGTGTACCCAATGTTCCCACGTTACACGATACTAAAAGACATGATAAAAGACATAATGCACAATCCATGTTACATGGAAGTCTGCCATGAAAATTAATCACTCCAATAATAATTACACACAATAATTATACAACAGTCTCTTTGACAAATTTTGTAAGTGCGATGGAATTTTGCTTGAATTTAATCACCGCATATTTACTCAAATGGTGTTCAATTTAATAATTATTTTACTCTGTAGGTTTATTGCTATTATGCGCACTAATTATTAATTATTAGTGACATTGATACATAGAGTGCATTAAAAAAAAAAAACTGTAGAGTATAATCAAAATGTTATAAATAATTTTTCTCTAAAATTTATTAAGTAGAATTTTTCTAGACGGCTTTTTTTGAGCTTCATTTTTTCTAAAGTTCATTTTTTTTACTAGTGTTTTTTTTTTTTTTATAAAATTTAGAAAAATTTTTTTTTTTTTAGTCAATTTGTAAAAATTTATTTTTTAATTTTTATTATTATTGGATGTATGGATTAGAATTAGACGCATTTTTTAATATTTAAATTTGAATTCAAGTGAAGACAGAAGATTAATAATAATAATAATAACTAAAATCAAAAATACTTATAAAAAAAAAAATAATTAAAATGTAAGTACATGGATATAATAAGTATATATTGTACACATATATATAGATATATACTTATGTTTTAATAAATATTAAAGTTATTAAATATACAGTTGTTTTGATAATTTAATCTTGGCTTTTTTTTTTTTTTTTATTATT